GAGAAGTAGACGAGTTTCGTCCTTTCTATGACGACGAGAGTCAAGATCGGGGCGGAATAAAAAAGAAGAAGAAGAAGAGGAAGAAAAAGAAGAAAAAAAAATAGGTGAAGAACAGAGGGAAGGGCGTGGATGGAAGTAGCAGTTGTATGTATGGCCAGCGCGACATCGTAAAAAAAAAAAAAAAGAAGAAAGAGAATGAAATCTAGCCGGAGATGCAAGAAAGAACGGACACTCGAGCTTTGGCTGACGTCGCTTTACGTGCCGGTATAATGGCCCTTGTCTTCACCACAGTACCAAGTTCTATTCAAGCTTGAAGGGACTCGCCAACTTCTCCACGACACCGACGCGATTCTTAAATCTACTTAGCGAGCCCGGTTTCTTTTTCCATCTCTCCCCAACGCTCCCCCCCTCCAGCGTCTCTCCTCGATTTCCATCGATCTGTCCTCGACGATCCACGCGTGATTTTCCTCCCCACGCACGGATAGAAAGAAAGAAAGAAAGAAAGATTAATGACGGAACGGTGTTCGAGTATCCGCGCCTTGATCGCTTTTGTTCTCCTAACTATCCTGTTTGTGCTCGTTAAACCGATTTGCTAGTTGCCCGGTAAACAATAGGGACTCGCGTTATGGTCACGACAATATGATGCAAATACGAAACTACAGCGTCATCGCCGATCGATTATTAAATCTGACTGCGCGTTAAACGTTCAACGTCGCGTCTGGCCAAATTAAATTTACATGCTATATATATACGTTATATTATTTAGATTCCATTTAGGGACGCACGTGCGGTTGATCCGATCGAATCGTCTTATGTTTTTTCCTGGAAAAACGATTGGATCGAGTAGCGTGAAGCATCCATCGAGCTAGCAACCCATTGCTTCTAATCAAGGGTGTGTATATATCGCCCGAAGAGTTGTTGTAGAGTATCTGTTACGGGTTCGTTAAGACGGTGTTCCGACTTTCGGTCAACTTTCACCCGGCACACGTACGGATCGAGCATGACGCGAAAATTAAATTCCGAGAATCGACTTGCTCGTATCTCTCGATATCTCTCATCGGCTCGCCCTGCAAATTGAATCCGTTCAGACCTCCCTAATGAGGTTTCTTGGATCGGCAACGAAACGTAAAGGGATCGAGAATTATAAACGCTATTCATTTTCGGGGGGAAATACGATCGATACGTCGTTCGCACGACGATTCAAAGATTTTTCTCTGAGAGTGGGGAGAAAGATAAGGCGAACGCATATTTTTCTGGTTAATTAGGCCGATAACTGAGTCAGCATCTCTCCCTCTTGTGATCGATTAAACGATCTCGACGACTCCTTTCCATTATTCGGGAACGACGATCCCTTCGCGAGGGAATTTAAATCGCGTGAAACGATAACACGAAAAGAAGAATCGAATTTTTCCTTTATATTTTCGATTTGACGCGTATAGAATAATATCGTTTGCACGAATTTTCGTTTCAAATATTTTTTTCGTGATCGACGTTTCGATTTTACCCTCCTACTCTCCTACTCTTCTTTTCTCGTCTCTGTTAAAAATGTAACATTCAATTATCGAAGTGGTCGATAGTCGGATTGAACTCGAGCTCGACGACGAGCAATAAAGCGCGGTGCTTCCATCTCTTGTTGTTGGTAACAATTACTTGCTCCATTCCCAGTAGTGAAAAGCTACTGCGGTCGGGCATACAAGTAGATTCGGTTTGTTCTCGGTCGGACATTTACCGAGTATACCAATAATTCCACTGGCGCGACGGGTAAAGAATCGCGAATCGATCGATTAATCGGAAAAATTTTACGAGAGAGGGAGGGAGGAGAAAGAAGAGGGAGGGAACACTCTGTAACGTAAAATTCTTTCGGTAAAATCCACATTAATTTTCGCGTAACGAATTAAAAGTTGGAAGAGGAAGACCGAAAATCAGATCAAGTTAATTTTTCAAGGATAAAAACGGACACGTAGGTCTGTTCCTCGCGTGCACATTTCTCGAACAAAGTCCCCTCCCCCCTCTCCCAAGCATCGAAGCGTACGTAACGAGTCTTGGCTCGTTTAGGGTATCAAAGGCCCCCTTCCTCCTCCTCTCTCTCTCTCTCTCTCTCTCTCTCTCTCTCTTCTT